GGCTGGTGGCTGGTGTAATATAATAATAATCATTATCTGGGCTAAAGATCATATTTTGCAACGTTTGGAATCTGCGAAGTCAATGAGATTATTTTACTATACAGGCATACGTTAGTATATTGTTTATAAAGTATTTAAACAATGACATCAGTAATAAAATAAGTATTATGTGTGCACGCCCCGTCTACAAGATATTTACAGGGGATGTTTGTAATGAAACTAAACGATCGTTATTATAACAGGAAACGATAAAAATATTCTACAGTTCTCTGTGATACAATATGGCGAGAAAACATTTTCGCAACCAAATTTCATTTAATTTGAATAGCGATTTGCCGAGTGCCGAGTGCCGACTAACTGAAGTTTTGCCGACTATGGTCACGCGTTAGGGGGGGGGGTGACACCCCCCATACCCCCCCATCAATCCGGCCCTGAGGCCCACCTATTGGAGCACAGTCGCTACCTGTAAAATCTACAAACTAAACATTTGATTTTACCAAGATTTTTGGAAATCGCTGCAGTATCACCGTTCCTGAGTGATTCAAGTACACTCTTTTTTAGAGCTAAATATTATACCAATAAGAACCTCGTCCTGGGAATGCAGGTTTTGCACTGGCAAATTTTTCAAAATGAATCGATTCTGGAATCGATTCAGTTAAATTTTTGACAGTAAGTAAGGAATAGCCTAAGGATTAAAATTTATATCAAGCCAAAGAGTGCTTTCATCAGGGAGGTGGTAGGGTACCAGCTTGGGGGTGGAAATTTGTTATTGTAATTTGACCACAGGAACGGATTGGAAACTTAATTCTAAGCAAAAAGTGTTCTATACATTTTTTTCTACGAGTTATTCGCGACCGAAAGTACCTATGAGGTTTTCATAGAAAAAATCAATGTTTTTAATTGGTTCTTGGCGAAAAACTGGAAAAGTCGGCATTTTATGAAAAAACTATGGAGAACAAAATCGTAGGTTTTAAACAAGCAGAGAGTAGTTATTTGTACTACTAGAGTAAGTACTAGAGTAAGTACTAGAGAAGAAAGTGGAGTTTTCTTCTCAAGTTTACACATTTTTTTCTGAAACTATAATCAAAATTGGAAAACTATCGAATAGAATAAAGAGGTTTTACACATAGCAATCTAGATACGGATATGTTTTAATTTTAAATGTCATTAATAAGATTAATGCAGCAATTGTTTTTTACTTTCCTCACTAGAGAGGAAAATCACATTTTCTTCAGCCTTTTTAGACACGCAAGTAGTTGTTTCTAAAGTAGTTTCAGGAAAAAATGTTTTTTAATAATTACTGTATGACTAATAAACTTTTGTTCGTCAAAAGCTAAATTAGAAAGTTTCAAAGTCAAATAACGGCAAAACTTGTAGAAAAATCTCTGATTTTTTTAAGAAAAAACTTTAGCGTAAAAATTGAGTGAGTGATGAAAATAAGGTAGATTCCTACCTTTTTCATCGAAAAAATCAACGAGAACAACCTCCCAATTGCCATCCTAATTTAAATTAGACGTCCTCCTTTACCAGTTTTCGCTCATTACGTATTATTAATATATACATTCTAGAAGTATGATCAAGTTAGAAGACTTAATTTTGAAATCATTGAAGCTAAAAGTGAATAACAAATTTCTGCAATTCTGTGAAAAATGTCTAAAAAATAACTAAAAATTACGAAGCTCTGGATAAGACACATAGGAAATTATTTTGTAAATTACAGTTGTAACTGGGAATTAGTTTATAATTTACAGTTGTAATTGGGAATTACACTAATTTACAGTTGTAACTGGGAATTATACTAATTTACCGTTGTAACTGTCAAGGATAATTCCCAGTTACAACTGTAAATTAGTGTAATTCCCAATTACATCTGTAAATTATAAACTAATTCCCAGTTACAACTGTAATTTACAAAATAATTTCCTATGTGTCCTATCCAGAGCTTCGTAAAAAACAACTGGAGATACGTAAAAAATGCTACAGCATCCAATTGTAGCTTTTTAATACCAAGCATTTTCCTCGTCGAGAATCTCCTGTACCACAAAAATTAAGTGAGATACCTATATAGAAGTTTCAAACGTGTACCTATTTATATGCGAGTGCACTACCTTGCTTGAACCCTCCTTTTAAAACTAAGAGTTTTAAATGATTTTGATGTAAATAGCCTTGTAGTTCTTGTAAAAACCTACAAAATGGTTTTTTAATGAACTTTGTATCATAAAAAATTATGATTGAAGTGATGATTATAAACCAATCACAATTTTTTTCGAAAAATGTTGAAAGCACAAATCGGACCATGATGATCCACATACATGACTGGTATACAGACTGTTTCAAAGTATAAGCGCCTTATTTTTTTAGCCACACTGTGGGTAGGTACTACTTTCAAAATATTTGGCAGTTTCAGGACATTCTCTACACGATGGTGATATCAGATTTTCAATTACAGATTATTTCAAAATGGCGACTTTCAACTTTTTTTAATGTTTAGATCCTAAAAACAGTCTTTTCACGATAGTATTTTGTTTTTCTTAATTCATTTCTTCCCTATCAAAAAGTAAACTAACATTTTTATTTAGTAGCGCATGATTTGATGTTCTTTTTGTCCAAATATCAACTTTGTATTCCCCATGTCTACAGGAGAGCTGTAAAAGTTCTTGGAATAACTTCCGTGCCACTTCCAGTACGCAATATTTCATAATAGGTACAACCTGATGTCCCAAACGTGTACTGGTTCAAAAATCTACAGGTTCCCTGAAAGTGTACAGTGTGTCCCAGATCGCGTGGGATTGTATGGGTAACTTAATTATTAATAAAGATAGAGAATTAGTTAAATGGGCAAATGTTTTGCAGTTTTAGATGCTTATTTAAAATTTCCTTATGGAAAATCAAAATGTCGCATAGGTTCGACGTAAATTCAAAAAAACTAAATTTTCATTGTTTTGTTGCCTCGAATAGATGTTGTTTTGTTTTTTTGAAATTCATCACAGACTACTTGATTAGAATGTAAAAAACGTTGATATATCTGGTGTCTTATTTTCAACCTTGTTATGACAGCTCATTGAAAAAAGAATTTAAAAATCTATCAAGTAATTTATTAAAAATTCTATTTGGCGCCCATTTAACTTTAGGAAGTTGGTAGATGTTCCTCAAAAGTAGCCATTTTGAATTTTTTGCAGCAATTCCAAATTAAGCGTATCAAAGCCAATAACTTTTATCTCGAACTTTTTTTATAGGTACCTCTTATAGTTTCGATGATATAAGACATTCAAGGAAATGACTAATTTTAGTTTTTTGAATGTACGTCGAAGATAATTTCTTCCAGGAAGCGCCACATGCCCAAGAAGATTACCACCTTTTAAGTTTAACCTGTCATCTGTCGTCCCAAAATTAAGTAAATTCGACTTCAGGTCAGCTTTTATTACATTGTAGCGAATATTCCAGAAATCCCGATAGTCATCAAGACGCCAAGGTGGGTTGGATGTTTTGTGTACGATTGCAGAACATCAGCAACAAGATTTTGAGCAAATTGTATGACGGTTAGAAGCTCGGTGAATTGAAGAACCAAACGCAAAAGTCAGGAGAAACTTTGCAAGAACTCGAAGCTGATATAGCCCGCTTACAGGGTTGGCGTATCCTACGGCTCCAGAGAGCTTTACAGAGCTGCTGGCGGTGCAAACTGTCATCGATGGTGTTCGCGTGTCGCCACGAGAAAACACAAGCTTTGAAACTGGCGCCTCATGAGAAATTGGAAACGGCTTTCGGTGCCTGCACTGGAGTTTGATGCTACAAAGGAAACCTCTCGTTTTAATACTTGCGTGCACACCATTAATACGGATGAAAGAAACGACGAGGACTGCGATGTGGAAGCTGGGGTAAGAATGGACCATTTTATAGGAAATTGTTCCCACAATAGAGTAACCAGTAACCATGGAAAACGAGTCAAAGGCTGGCCATCCAAATCGCATCATTGAAGCATGAAGATCAGACGGGGATCGTATTCCGCGGGGTGTGGGGTAGCAGAGGGAGGTTCTGCGAACTTACTCGGGCGATAATCTTTGAGCACTAGAATTCAGTCCCCTCCCCTGATAAAGATGCGTCACGCACGGTGCTTGTGGATGATGGTTGGGTACCACAAGAACTCCGGACGGCTCAAGAAGATTACCGTGATAGTTTAGTGATAAACTGGAAAATGGTAGAGAAAAGGGCAACTTGGGAAGAAGTATCTCGATACCAGCCCAGTTCTAAAAAGGAGTTTTGGGACTCTGCGGTTAGAAGATGCGTAGGTACTAGAAAATTATAATGACACATCAACAATTGTGCAACTAGTGATACCGGAGAGCAAGAAACCTGAAGTACTATGGCATACATGATTGTATATCCCGGGGGCCATCTAGGAGTGACGAAACTCTGCTTAAGGTGCGGGAACAATTCTACTGGGTGAATTGCAAACAAGATATGAAAGCATGGTGCCGAAAATTTGTAGTTTAGTTTGGGCCCCAAGCAACGGACCAGTAGGAAAGGCAAAGTGGGTAGTCCATTTGAAAGAATAGAAATTCATATCGATGCCCCAGCTTCCCGAAGACAGATTCTATAAACAAATGCATTCTATTGGGCATTCGCAAGACGAGAACTACTGCTTTACACCCAAGATCTTCCGTTTAAAAATTATCGTGCTCCCAGACGGATCATTAATACGATTTCAAGAAAGACCTGTCGGACCGTTGAGTTGTAAAATTTTAGTGGAAATTTCATAGAAAATTTGACATCGTCCTGACATCTACCGTCAGTAAAATGAATTAGGCGCTATCGAATTGAGTAGGACAATGCCATATAACCAGTTTGTTATATAGGCAACACATTATACTCAATATTTTGAAAAATGGCAATGTTTTTTTGTATATAGAACATGTAAGCACGAAGTCACCTTACAAGGAGAACAGGATCAAGAAGATATTATCATTCCCAATTCATTTTTGAATTTGTGAGTAGGTAATGTAGTTTCCTGTACTTGGTGGTAACGGTTTTCTAACCTCAAATTCTCGTTGTCGCTTTTACCGAATATAAGTATTTGCTTTTACTAATACAAAATTAGAATGGTTTCAAACTATGTCGACGAAATTAAAGAACTAAACGCCCCAAATGTTCACATCAAAGACAAGGAGCGCGTCAACAAACTCATCCATGACATAGTTTCTGATGGCCATCCAAATCTGCAGGTAGTATCAGATTTCGATCGAACCATAACTAGGCAGCACGAAAATGGTAAAAGTCACCTGAGCAGCTTTGGTACGTTTCGTCCGTTTGGGTTCGGCAATCGGTAATAAATCGTTTTAGCGATGTTTAGCCGTTGCCCGTCCGTCCCCAAAGAATACGTCGAGACCGAAAAGCGACTCACGGGCAAGTACTTTCCGATCGAAATCAACCCCGGCATTACGCACGACGAGAAACGACAGCTGATGGAGGAATGGTGGAGCGAAACGGAAAATGCGATGAAGTAAAATATTGGTATCCTCTCGCTTGTTGTTTCACATTTTGTTTTAGGGGTTTGTGCGTTACTCAGTGCGAAATTGAGGAGACCGCGTCCAGTCTAGGGCCGTCACTAAGGGACGGGACCGTGGAGCTATTTAAAGACTTGCACAGCGCTGATGTACCGATTCTGGTATTCTCGGCTGGGTTGGGTGACTCGGTTAGAGCAGTATTAAAGCACTTCAATGTGTACTTAGCTAATGTTAAGGTGCGTACACGGTTACTTTGTCGTTTCAATTCCAGGTTGTATTTTAGATAATTTCCAATTTTCTGAAGTACAACGACCGTGGTGTCATTCAGGGTTTCGACGGTGCTACGATTCACGTGTTGAATAAAAACGAATACGCCTTGCAAGGCACTCAGTATTACGACTTAGTACAAAACCGTAGTAATGTTATACTAATGGGGGATTCCCTGGGCGACTCGGGAATGGCCGACGGTGTCTCACACGCACACGCCATTTTAAAAATTGGCTTCTTATATGATCACGTACGTTGCTGCATGTTAAAAACTCGACTTTATTCTTTTAATTTAGGTGAAGGAAAATTTGCCTCTTTTCATGGAGGCATTCGATATTGTTCTCGAAGATGATCAAAGTATGGCAGTTATACGGGCAATTTTGAAGTACTTACTTTAAATAAATTGTGATATTCGTTTTATTTTCGGATTGTTTCATCTGGGTGTGTTACAAAAAACCACGCACAATGGCCTTTTCTACCGGAATTGCTAAACGTAGTCGACTTACGACTTGTGGTGGTTTTGTGTAAGATATTTCTGTTTTACCAGGCTTGCTAATGTTATATTTTAAATGAATATACCAAAGCTGAGGAAATGGTTTTTAATTAAATCTGCCTCAAACCATAAAGTTTAGGTTTATCAAGAATTGAGTGTCCTTGATCTGATGTATATAAGGAACTTGACGATAATTGGAACTTTTAAATCGTGCCGGCAACTGATAACCAACTTCCACAGCATGCCTTCGAATTTTATCAAAGAAATCAGTGTTCTTGATCGTTCCAAGGTACATATCAAGCGGAAGGACAATGTGAACCACATCATTCATAATTTGATCAAGGAAGGGCACAAGGATTTACAAATTATTAGTGATTTCGATCAGACAATCACAAGGCAGTATCGGCAAAGGCAAAATGTGAAGAAGAAGGACATCAGCAGCTTCGGTACGTAAACATAACCTAATATTTAAAGTGAACGGAAAATTTCAGGAGTATTTGTCCGATGTCCATCCATATCCTCCACGTATTCCGCTCGGGCCAGAGCATTGGTTGAGAAATATCAACCCATCGAGAAGGATCCCAAGGTGCCCGTAGATGAGAAAAGGCCGATTATGGAAGAATGGTACACACAAATAGGCCAAGCTATCAGGTTTGTCGCGTGCCTTTCCAGTGATAGGACTAATCGACTCGGTGTTGTAGAGGAGAGAAGATATCCAGATTGGAAATAGAGAAAACGGCACGTGAAAGTGGACCATTGCTACGGTACGTACTACAAATTCCAGTCAGATTTTATAAGTTGTGTGCACTTGAGCTTTATATTGCACATAATAAATAAAAGAGCTAATATCCCACATATTAGAGCATGAACATTCTCGGTGGGATTTTGTATATCCGTATAATGTGCAAAAATATGTCGAAAATGACCACTGTATGTGCAAGGGTTATACGTTTCGCAAACATAACATAATAGGTACATAGGTAATTACCTTTTCATATAGTGGTATACTAATATACCATGAATATTCCTATAATATGCAAAGACGTTCCATAGGATATCTCATATGTATGTTGGATTGGATGTTCGGTAGAGGTTCCTCTACTCTTCAAAAACCTTCCTAGCCAGTCAAGTAGGTACATTTCATCCATACATAAACAAATTCTTTCTACTGAGTGAAGTTTTCTGTTTACTAAGCTTCAGTATCTTAGTGACATAGGGATTTCTTATAGGAATTTCCTCTGGGTCTACTTTTAAATGATAATAAGTCTTCTGAAGGACGCCTAACTTTATGCAACCAAAATAACTGCCTACAACAAATGAAGATCTGCCTGTCATATTAATTAATTTGAATATTATCACTTTGACAATTCTATACTATAATTTTAACTAAAGAAAGAGTTTTCAATTGGTATAGCACCGGTAACAGTTAAAGGAGCGTAAGAGATTTATTTTCTGTGAAGCCAAAGCAACAATATTCAAATTAATAATTAATGTGACAGCGAGATCTTTATTTGTTTCAAGAAGTTATTTTGGTTGCATAATATTAGGCGTCTTTCAGAAGCTTTTTATTTCCTATGTCTTACTTCTACATTATGAATATCACTCTATAATGAAAATAAGTATCTGTTTTCACAAGGTCCTTAAATTTTATTGCCAATGAAACACTGACGGTTAACAAAGTAGTGTTTTCCCGAGAAATTTTGGTGCAGTCGATTTTTGGAAAAATGGAAGGTTATACACTGCCTTTTTTTTACCCCGAAAAAAAAATTGTCTCAGATCGTCCCGGAAAAAAAAATTCTTATAGAACGTGGCCTTTAGAATCCATAATTTCAAACAGTTCCTAATTTGGGCTACTAGTTCAAAAGTTACAGCCCTTTGAATTTTTTTTCGAAATTAGTTTCTAGTCCATAACTTTTGATTGAGAAGTCTGATCGAAAAAGTACGAATTGTTTTGGATTCTACGCATCAAAATTAATAAGAAAAAGTGTTTTCCCGAGAAATTTTGGTGCAGTCGATTTTTGGTAAAAAAGGAAGGTTATACACTGCCTTTTTTTGCCCGAAAAAAAAATTGTCTCAGATCGTCCCGGAAAAAAATTTTTCTTATAGAACGTGGCCTGTAGAATCCATAATTTCAAACAGTTCCAAGATTGGGCTACTAGTTCAAAAGTTACAGCCCTTTGAATTTTCTTTCGAAATTGGTTTCTAGTCTATAACTTTTGATTGAGAAGTCTGATCGAAAAAGTACGAATTGTTTTGGATTCTACGCACCAAAATTAATAAGAAAAAGTGTTTTCCCGAGAAATTTTGGTGCAGTCGATTTTTGGTAAAAAAGGAAGGTTATACACTGCCTTTTTTTGAGCCCCGAAAAAAAAATTGTCTCAGATCGACCCGGAAAAAAAATTTTCTTATAGAATGTGGCCTGTAAAATCCATAATTTCAAACAGTTCCAAGATTGGGCTACTAGTTCAAAAGTTACAGCCCTTTGAATTTTTTTTCGAAATTGGTTTCTAGTCTATAACTTTTGATTGAGAAGTCTGATCGAAAAAGTACGAATTGTTTTGGATTCTACGCACCAAAATTAATAAGAAAAAGTGTTTTCCCGAGAAATTTTGGTGCAGTCGATTTTTGGAAAAAAGGAAGGTTATACACTGCCTTTTTTTGCCCCGAAAAAAAATTGTCTCAGATCGTCCCGGAAAAAAATTTTCCTTATAGAACGTGGCCTGTAGAATCCATAATTTCAAACAGTTCCAAGATTGGCACCTCTTGAGTCCTCTTTTCCTGTTTTTGTTCAACATGCCTGCCATTCTTCCGCTGAGTAATTACCATCCATTCTTTACATCTCACTAACAAATACCTAATTGTAACTGTAGGTAATGCACATACCAAACTCAATAAAATTCATTACTCTCATTGTGCAATTAGAAAAACAAACTCATGTAAGTTGGCATAACACTTTGCTATATCCAATTTATTATCTTCCGTGACGCTAACTATAATAGTACGTCTGTAATACATAAATCATGACGTAGAAGACTATAAGTCGAAACATATATACATACATTACAATCCCACACATAGAATATAATAATAATACTTTTATTTCCATAGGACATATAGATAAATTACATAATGTATTTATGGAAACCGGAAAACGGATCTGTTTCAGTTTACCGTGTAGGTTCACTTGTCTTCCACCAGACCCAATATCGATGCCTATTATTATTAAACATTTAGTAAAAATTAGAATTGAGTGCGTTCTCTAGTAATTACTAATAAAGACAACAAAATGAAAGATGGAGTAATTAATGACAAATGTGATTGATAATGGTGTGTTTATTGACTTAAGCGAAGCATGGTTTTAAACTATATGGAAATGGACAAACTTTGAAATGAGATGGGTACTTTTTTATTGTAATAATTTGCGATATTGTAGGAAAATGGCCTTTTGAAGAATGTAGTTTTATGAAAAGGATTACTGGGGGATGTAGATGATCTGTTTTTGATTCAATTATAAAAACCAGGTGTCAAATTCTTGACAGAATAGCTTCCTAGCTGAAACCAAAAATTGCCAACATATGTACGCACTTACAGACCGGAAAAATTTATTCTTTAAAAGTTGCTTAAAATGATCTAAAACGTCAACATTTGATGAAATTTCGCATTGTACCTAGCTCATGCTATGAAGAGAAAACCGTCAATTCCATAAATAAGAAAGTTGCATTTCTGCGCATGCGCAACACGATTTTTGCGCATGCATTTTGTTTGCTTTTATTAGAGGGACCTACCATCCAATTTTCGTTAAAATTGCTCCATAAATAAGAAAGTTGGATGTTGCACATGCGCAACTCGATTTTTTGCGCATGCATTTTGTTTTCTTTTATTAGGAGGACCTACCATCCAAATTTCGTTTTAATTGTTCCATAAATTAGAAAATTGCATTTCTGCGCATGCGCAACACGATTTTTGCGCATGAATTTTGTTTGCTTTTATTAAAGGGACTTACCATAGAAATTTCGTTTAAATTGCTTCAGAAACAATATCGTTGCGTTTTGCACATATGCAACACAATTTTTTGACTTTGACAATTTTTTTCTCCGTTTTTTGATAATATAACCCGGCCCAATTTTTTGTAGGTTGTACACAGGAAAATAAGGTCTTCCAAATAATAGAATAAAAATTTTAGGTTGCTATTTGAAAAAAAAAGTTGCCGTTACGGCGCTCCAAAATTTTTTTTCAAAAATCCGGCCCGTTATTTTTCTGTTCGGTATGCCTAAAACATATATACAAAATTTCAACAAAATCCGTCGAGCCGTTTTCTCAGAAAATTGCCAACAAACGACGTACGTACATACAGACGGAAAAAAATTTTATTCTTTAAAAGTTGCTTAAAATGGTCTAAAACGTCGACATTTGATGAAATTTTGAAATGTTCAAAAAACGGCTATCGCAATAGCTACCTAGCACATGCTAGGAAGCTAATTAGTTGGGGTAACTTAAAGATAAAATAAATTCTTTAAATATAAGATCATTTATCTTGAAATAAAAAACTGCTGATGTATGTAATTTTCTTCTATTAGACATGTTAAGCCAGTTCGTTTCCTTTATAATCGAATATCATCGAGAGAGGATATAAGGTGTATGATCAGGTATATTTTTACTATAATTTTTAATGTACATAGAAGATACATACAATGTATGTGATACTCCTGATATACTCGTATTTTAAATTTGCAATGCATACATTTTATTCTTTGTGAACCTAAACATCCATATCGCATCCACAAAGTATAGTTCCTAAATATCCATACTGGACTTTATAAAATACTTATGTTAATAACGAATGTACATAGTATATACATGAGATATCGAATGGTATGTGGGATAGAATACATTTATTATTAACATACATAAGAAGAAAATGTGACTAGCCAATTTGTAAGTTTACCATAGGGCGAAATTACTACCAAAATATTCATTGTTGCTGTGAAACTGTCTTATATATACACATGCTGTGCGTTACAGTTAAATCGAGTCACCTTGAATAAATCCGTTGATATTGAAACTATGACAAAATCGTGCTTTTTAGGGAGATACATTTCTACACGAAAATCAACCCCTTGTCAACTCATGTTAAAAATTGTTTCTTCAGGTCGCTTTCTAAATTGATTGAAGTTTGTTATAACTCAAAGTGCTCTTTTACACGGCGATACTGTATCCAAGAAGTATTTTCAGTACACCGATACTGTATGTGTGTGTGAACGGCTCCATAAGACGAAACGTTGCAGGCGTATCCATCCGTCTGCGGGCAACTGTATCCCCGTGTCAAAGTGGTCAACAACTCGCTGGAAAAAGTCACTAGATGCGGAAAAGTCACTAGAAAAGTAACTAGGTTTGAAACTCAGCTGGTGCGTATAGGGCCGATTCAAAAAGTCGCTGGATTTGAAAGTTACTAGAAAAGTAACTTAATTCCGTTCCGTTAATTGACAGATTTATAATAAATCGGTTATAATGCGATTCCATTTCGTGAACGGAATCATTGGCGAGACTCCAGACTCATGTTTATAGATGCAATCTAATTTGTTATTAAGAATCCTCAGATCCTTTATAGTTTATGGTTGTCCGACCGTTCGTCTGCGTTCGCTGTAACTATTATAGTTAAGATCCCCAGGTACTTTTTATAGCTTATAATTTTTGTCCGTCCGTTTGCGCTATAACTTTTTTTTTAAAGTAGCCGATAGTGGTGTATTTGGTATGGGAAACAGGAAAAACTGTGTCAAAGTCGTTATTCATGCACAGGGTGTTTTTTGATAGGTCGTAAAGTATACTTCATTCTGCTAGGTGATTATTTAGTCCGTCAGGCTACGCCGCCTCACCTAGCATCAGTTCCATTCAAGAAAAGCGGTATCGCTGGGTATGCGAGATGAGGCGGCGCCGCCTTTGGAAAATACCCTCTGTCACACCATTTTTCTTAACATAATTTATAACTTTAGCAGATCCTTAAATCATTTATAATACCCTAGACCTTTTTTATTGCAGCAATGGTGTCCCCGAGCTATTTTGTGAATTGAACAAAGCCGAAATCCCGCTTTTAATTTTTTCAGCCGGACTAGGCGATGCGGTGGAAGCCATTTTAACAAATTTCAACGTATTATTTCCCAACATTAAGGTTGACTAAGCTCCCAATTGCCGAACACCCCTAACGTTTAATCCTCTAGATTGTCTCCAACTTTCTCAGCTATAACAATGACGGCGTAATTGAAGGTTTCATAAATGACCCCATCATTCACGTGTTTAATAAGAACGAGTCTGCCATAAAAGACACATGCTACTATGACGTGGTCGAGCATTGCAAAAATGTGATCTTAATGGGCGATTCGCTTGGAGATTGCGAAATGGCCGATGGTGTGCCCAATCTGAAGAATATTCTAAAAATTGGTTTTGTGCATGATTCGGTATGTTCGCTTTATTACTCCCGCAATAATGCAATTTTTTAGGTTGCTGAAAATTTGCCACAATTCATGGATAAATTTGACATTGTTTTAGAGG